ACGGAGCCTGATGCCTTTCTCCACGATATCGTGGATAAACACCTGGTCCTTGTTCATTTTTTGATAATGGAGTACCCTCTATGGTGGTTTGAGAACGGCATTCATTAGCCCAATGTCTCCCTCTACGGCATCGTGGGAAAATACCTGGTATTCTACTCCTTTGATACCTAGTTTTGTTAAACCCTCCTCCAATGGGGCAATTCCTTTTAAAATGTCCTGTTTGTTCACAATTGTAGCATGTTCTTGGCCTGGCATCTAAAGCCTGTTTTACTGCAGCTGCCACGACTTGCTCTTGTTCATTAATGTCTCTACATAATTTAATATATGTGTTTAAATCTTCATGTTTCCATGGTCGAATGATATCTCTGCACCAACGATTCGCTTGCTCATAAGCCAGGTGTTTTAGTAATGGCATTGCTTGTTATGTATTCCCAAAAACTCTGGTAGCTGTTTGAATAAGCCTATCTACAAATTCAGCATAAGGTTCATTAGCTCCTTGTATTACCTTAGATAATTGACCTTGTAAACCTCCATGTCCTTGTAAAGTCTTCCATGCCTTAATTGCATCTACAGCAATTTGTGCATATACACCAGGATCATATGCAATTTGTTGCTGCTGATCCTCATAAGGTCCCTTTCCTAACAACATATCTAGATTTCTCTGAGGATAACCAGCTGCTGCATTTCGCCTAGCCGTCTCCTTGCAAAATTCCTCATTGGCAACCTTCCGTAACAGGTATTGTCCTCCATTTAGCACAGCTTTACACATATTAGCCCAATCTGCTGGCGTCATGTTCAAGTTGTTAATGGATTCGACCATGCTTACAGTGAAGGGTGCTTGAGGACCATAGGTTGTTACAGCCTCTTTTAGCTGCTTCACTGTTTTGAAATTTAAAACATGGTAAACTTGCTGCCCTCTTGCCTCAAATACAGGGCATGTTAATATTTGAGATCTTGTCTCAGGATCCCAACTATCAACTGCGGGGGTTGGGGGCCTCCCAGCATATGGAGGTGGCCTTGTTAGTTGGACACTTACGTCCTCTGGTGATAGAAAGGTGTTAGTAGCAGTCTCCTGTTGTAATTTTCCCCCTGATGGCTTTTTCTGTTTTACACTTTCTTTCTCTGTCTGACTAGCTTGAGAGGCCTTCTCTTTTACTTGAATTTTTTCCTGTCTGACTAGTTTGAGAGACCTTCTCTTTTACTTGAATTTTTTCCTCTGTCTGACTAGCTCGAGAGACCTTCTCTTTTACTTGAATCTTTTCCTCTGTCTGACTGACTTGAGAGACCTTCTCTTTTACTTGAATCATTTCCTCTGCCTGACTAACTTGAGAGACCTTCTCTTTTACTTGAATCAATATGTCTTATCCTTCCTCTACCATTGTCTGAACTGAAGGCTTTGAACTAAGCAAACCAGATTCGAACGTCCACAATGGCAATGTGCCAACTGGCAGAGTCCCTGGGCTTTTCTTTTCTATTCTTTTTAAATCTTCACTATGATGGTTCCATTGTGATATATTTAACAACTCCTCCTTAAAAAGCCATGGGCTACATTTTTGTATTGTATCAACGTATGCCCTGATTGCTCTTGATTTTACTGGATTGCCTCCTTCCTCTAACAATTTACTTAACACTCTTTCGGTTTGTTTTTTACTAATTTCTGATCCCATATTTCTACTATAATACAACCCAACAAGATAACACCAAACAAAACCGAGATAGAATGAAATAAAAATGGAACAACAAAAAATCATTATAACCTTTCTCCCTATCTGTTCCTCAGATGCAAATAGTTTTTCCTCAGATGTGAGTGGTTTTTCTTCCGTCTCACTCATCTCCAGGGACAGGTAACTTAAAACAAAAGTGAAGCAAAACAAAAGAGGAATCTTAAAATGGCTACCCATCCTCTTGCCCTGCCCTCAGGGGCGAGCAGTTTACCTTATCACTTACCCTCAGTCGCTCCCTGTGCGAGCCACCAAATGCCGCAGTCTGGCTGGGCACAATCAGGAGCCACTTGTCAAAAGAAACTAACTTTATTTTTAGAACCACACACGCCAAACAAAACAGCCTCTCAGGAAAAACCCTCAGAGCCCCAACTGCCACCACTGGCTTTCCACAAGCCTCTCTCTCCAACCCAAGCCTCTCTCTCCACCTCCCACAATCCTCCTGCTCTTGAGGCCGATTGGCTGGGTCATGTGGGCGGAGCCAAAAAAGTCCCCCAGTGAGCAGCTCCGTGGTCTGAAAGGGCAGGGAAATAGCCCAATGAGCATCACCACAGAGGAGCCAATCAGCTAGATGTTGCTGGGGCCGCTGTGAGCCAATCATCAGCCGGCAGCTGGAAGTTTGCTGGCAGCTGGAAGTTTGCTGGGGCCCCTTCGGCTGTGGCTCTCAACATCTGAATTCCGAGGTCAAGGCTTGGGCTAAACTGACATCAAGAGTGAGAAAGTATACTCCTAAAGTATATATTAAGTATACTCCTAAAGTATACATTAAGTATACTCCTGCTGCTACAAGGCCACAGCAAGGATGTAAAAAATATGATTATGGGGACTGAAGAATTGTGACCTATCCTTCAGTTTAAAATGAACATGTAGGTTGGGGATGTGGAAGCATGCTCGCCTGGCATGCGTGAGGCACTGGATTCGATCCTCAGCACCACATAAAAATAAAATAAAGATATTGTGTCCACCTAAAAAACTAAAAAGTAAATATTAAAAATAAATAAATAAATAAAAGCAACATGTAAAACAGAGCCTTCTTTGACATATAATTAATGGTTAATTACATTTTTCCTGCCCAATTCTTTTTGGTTTTTATTTTTTAGCGCTGAGGGTCAAACCCAGGACCTCATGAATGCCATGCAAGCCCTCTACCACTAAGCCACATCTACAGCTCTCATATCATATTTTAAAAGAAAAAAAAATTATTGCATGCCTCTGAAAGATTTGCTACTTATTTTTAATAATACTTCTATGCTTCATAAAACGTTAGTCTGGGCATGTAAAATAGCAACCTCTCTAGAAAACAATTTCTTGGGTTTGTTTGTTTCTTCCTCCCTTTCTTCCCAATTGTACTTCTGGACATTAATCCAGACAAGTGAAAACTTGTATCCACACAAAAACATGTAAATATTCATAGTAGTGGAAACAACTCAAAAGTCCTTCAATGAATGAATAAACAAACCGTACTGCACGTGTACTATCCGATACTACTCAAAGATAAAAAGAAACAAACTATAGATATACACAATTTGGATAGATCTCAAGAGAACTATGCAGAAGAAAAATGCAAATCCCAAAAGTCTATAAAGTGTATGACTCCGTTTATGTAACATTCTCAAATGACAGAATAATAGAGATCGAGAACAGATCACTGGTCTGGAAGTTACAAATGGGGTGGGGTGAGAGGCTGGAGACAGCTGTGACTATAAGGGGTAGCATGAGGATTGTTATGATGAACCAGCTTTATATCTTAATTGTGATGGTGAGTACATATGGTAGAATTGCATAGACCTACACACACACACACACACACACACACACAGTATATACAAAAACCAATGAAATCTGAATAATGTGTGAATTGTGCTAATGTTCACTTCTCATTTCCTTGTTTTGACAGCATATCATAGTTATATGTTTCCACTGAAGGAAATTGGATTAAGGGCATGCAAGACACTTCTGTAATAATTTTGCAACTTTATGTGAATATGTAATCTTAAAATTTTTTTTAAATCAGATTTTGTGTCATGGTGATAAATGCTTCTCCTTTCTATTGCTATAAAATAATTCATCCATGGTTTTCTTCTTGTATTTTTATAGCTTAATTTACAAGGCCTTTTTATTGGGTTAAGGCACAAAGTCCCTGTATATACCCACCTACATGATAGATCCTTTTGGAAATTTTATATGTTTCTCAAAAGCTTCACTGTGATAAGTTCATACAGACTTTGTCATTGCCCAGTGGTCTCTTAGTGAATAGCTCTCCCATTGTTTTCATGATATGGCAGTGGGCTTCCCCGAAAGTGAATGATGGGATTATGGGAGAAAGAAAGAAGCTGCAAAGAATATTATGACCTAGTCTGAGAAGTCACACGCAGTCATGTTGGCCACATTCACTTCATTGGAAAAGTCAGTAAGTCTGGCCCACACTCAAGCGGAGGGATGTTTGGCTTCACATTTTAAGGGAAGAGTATCAGAGAATTGCTGGCATATTGTAGAATCTTCAGGAGAGCAGGGGGTAGGGCCAACTGGATAAACAGGAGCAGTGCTGGAAGATTTTGGCTACACAGTTAAAAAATATGTGTGTGTGTGTGTGTGTGTGTGTATTTAGTTGTAGTTGGACATAATACCTTCATTTTATTTATTTATTTTTATGTGGTGCTGAGGATTGAACCCAGCATCTTGCACATGCAAGGCAAGCATTTTACCCCTGAGCCACAATCCCAGCCCCACACACATTGTTTTTTTAAGTTAGAGCATTACACATAGTAGTTGGGTTCATTCTGACAAAGTCATACATGCAAGGAATTTGATTTCAATCCTTATCTCCCACTCCCTTCCTTCTTCCCCCTATTCTCCTTCCTCTACTCTCTCTCTCTCTTTGGCTCTTTTATTTATTTTTGATTGATATTTTCTACATGTAAAGGTGGATTTTCTTTTGGCACATTTATGTATGCATGTAATGTGATTTTGATAAAGATTCATTCCAAATTTCCTCCCCTTTCTCATACTTCCTCCTTCCTTTCTCCACCTCCTACTCTACTGATCTTCCCTATATATTTGATATCCAATCTGTGACACTGCCTTCTTTCCCTTATTTTACTTTAGCTTCCACATATGAAAGAATCACTCAACACTATGTTTGGAGTCTAACTTATTTCCCTTAGCATGATGGTTTCCATTTCCATCCATTTACCTGCTAATGCCACTATTTCATCTTTATGTACACACAATTTTATACATTTTGAACTATGGATTTGACTAAGTCACATAATAAATTAATTACATTTCTTTCACAAAGAAACATGCTTTAATTTATTTGGTAAAGAACTGGAAGAGAGATGAAAGAACAAAAAGTTGGAAAGGACCTGGATGGGAGAAACTGGCTGAGGGGAAACTGACTTTGCTCAGACAGGAAAAAGGTCAGGTAGGCTTGGTGCACACCCTTCCACAGTGGCGTCATTGAGCATTCTCACTTTCCTGGGCATGATCTGGTACATAGGAGTTCTGGATCTGTGGAGGGGGAAACAAATCTATCTAAACCATTGTTCAGCCACAGCCTGTGTTCATTATTTGAAATACTGGATGACCCACAATGTCAGCTCCCCTCTCCTACTCCTCCAAATCCCTCAGGTTTTCTGGTTTGACAGCTATTCCTTTTTTAAAATTTTCTTTATTCTTTCTTTCTTTCTTCCTTTCTTCTCTCTCTCTCTTTCTCACTTTCTTTTAGTTCTGATGGACACAGCACCTTTTATTAAATTTATTTTTACGTGGTGTTGAGGATCGAACCCAGCGCCTCATACGTGTATGGCAAGTGCTCTGCCACCGAGCCACAATCCCAGCCCTTGACTGCTATTCTCGAACATGGTTTGAACAAACTGTCAAGCACGCCAAGAGGATTTAACCTAGTCATTACTTAGAGATTTAATGTGAACAAAGACGTGGCATGAAACCCAACAGGTTTATTGTCTCTATAAAAGGATCGTTAAGGTCGAGTGTATTACCGTGTTCAGTACTAAGTGTACAGCACTCACCGAGCCCTGGTCACTTTACTGGACAAGTCGAAGGCAAGGAAGGAAAAAAGGTTTACCAGCAGTAGTCAGTGGTCAATTTGTTTAACCTCTCTACGCCTGGAAAACACTACCAGTCCACTTTGAGCCACTTGGATGCAGGTGCTCCTTCTTAAGGGCCAGGAAGTCCCGGCAGAGAGCGCACCTCTGGCACCTCACCAGCAGCGAACAAAGTCCTTCCTGCAGCTCGCGGGGATCCGGGCGTCCAAGCGGGATCCCGGACGCAAAGACAGGAGCTTCCTCTTAAGGCCACAGTGTCTGGAGTGCTAAGGGGACAGCTACGAGCCGAGCAGGGTCCACCTAGGGCGCCCGGGATCGGACCGCACCAGTAGGGGGTCTTGGGGGCCTCTGGCTCCAGCCCAAGTAGTGAGGGGCGAAGCGGGGAGGCGGACAGACGCGGGACGTCTCGAGTGTGGGAGCGGACGCCAGGGTACGTAGGGACTGAGAGGCTGGTAGAACCTCGCAGGCCCGGAGCGGTGGGCCGTGAAGACCAAGAGTCCCGCCCGATCCAGCCGCTTCCGGCGCCCCCGGACACGCCCCTCGCCGGCTCTGCCACATCCTCTGGTGACGTCAGCCAGCGCCGCCATATTGGAAGGCCTCTGCCGCCGCCTCCGCTGGGGAGCTTGGGTTGTGTTGGGGCAGCGGCCGGCAGGAAGGCGCTCATCTCCCGCCCTGCCGACGCCGGTCCCACCCGCTTCACCCCGACCTGTCTCCTCATGACTGCTCCCGGACCAGTTGCCGACCGACGTCGCCCCAGAACAGTGATTTAACACGGAAGCCCGGGTCGGGGGCCGCGGGGGAAGGAGGAGGAGGTGGAGGAGGAGGAGGGAGACCCGGTCGGTCCCGCGTCCCTCTCGGCCCGGCGCGGCTCCTTGGCCCGAGCCATGACCTCGCTGACCCAACGCAGCTCGGGCTTGGTGCAGCGGCGCACCGAGGCCTCCCGTAACGCCGCCGACAAGGAGCGGGCGGCGGGCGGCGGCAGCGGCAGCGGCGAGGACGACGCTCAGAGCCGCCGCGACGAGCAAGACGACGACGACAAGGGCGACTCCAAGGAAACGCGGCTGACCCTGATGGAGGAGGTGCTCCTGCTGGGCCTCAAGGACCGAGAGGTGCGGGCGGGGCGGGCAGGGCGGGGGCGGCGACACGGGGCCCGGACCCCAGGTGGGCTCCAGGTGGGCGCCGGCCTTGGGCCCGCGCACCTGCCCTCCTCGCTCCTGAGCCCGGAGGCCAGGAGCGCCCAGCTTGCCCCGAGGAGTGTTGAGTTGGCTCCCTCCTGCGCCGCCCGGTGCTTTCCAGATCCTCCTCGCACAGATTGCTTGGATTTTTCCTTCCCCCTTTCACAGTCTCTTTCCATTTCGACACCCGGCTGTCTGCGTTTGTTCCTCGCTTTTTCTCTGCCTGTTCAGCCTGGGTAGATCCTAGGTTGCAATTCCACCCTGGAGACTGCCCGCTAGACCGAACACCAGGACCTCCAGCGCCCTGAACTCTTGGGTTTTGCGGGTTTTAGGACCTGGGAGGGGTCCACAGATCCGCTTGTCAGGGGATTTGTATTTTCTTTTGAACAGATTAAGGTATACCACTTGGTGTTATGAAAAAATTCGGAGGAAAAAGTTATTTTTCCCATTAAAGTTGAAAGTCATAAGTTGTCATGAAATTTGGAAAACGACTTTCTAGATGATCTTGCTTTAGGTGAGAGTTTATCTTTAATATTGCTGTTAAATTTTATTAGTTGACTGTTATGAAGAAAAAAATTTTGACGTTTTAAAGGAATGGCTTTTTTTCGTAAAGTGATTGAAATGCTAGGTTTGTAATTTGATGAAAGGTCTCAAAGATTTAGATAGGTTGTAGTTGCGATTGATATTTGTGTTCTGACTTTTGAAATAGATCATTTTCATCCTAATATCCAGAATTATCACACAAAGAAAAGTTGGGGAAAAAAACTACAGTGAACATCTTTATATATACTCATGTCTAGACTCTAATAGAACTATTTTGTTTTATTTGCTTTTTCACGTATACACCCAGCTACAAAACTGAATTTTAAAGAGATCTGTACATAAATACATGATTGTATAATTCTGTAAATGATGAGTTGTGTGGCCCTAGGAGCTTTTTTACCTTAGTGTGGAAACTAGACAACATCTTTTGAGAGTCAGATGCAGAAGTTTGTTTTGTTTTAAGTTAATTTTTCATTTGGGAAGGTGGGCAAAAGATTTCATCCCAATAAAACTTTCTTTTCCTAATGCCCCAGATTTTATCAGGCATAGATGAGTCTTTTTATGGACTGTTTGTAATTTAGTAATCTAATGCATTAAGTTTTACCTTCATAGAAATGTCTAGGGCGTCTGCAATATCTTGATTTCTCAGATCTTAAGTAAATAACAGCCACTTTGAAAAAAGTTGATGTCTCTTTGACTGTAAAAGGGTCCCCAGTATCTGTTTATTGCCGAGTTGTGATGATAAAAGTAGGCCATATGTGAATTTCCTTTTTTCTGAGGATGAATAAACAAACTAGATATTAATGTCCAGAAATGTGATTTAGAAAGTATTCAACTTGACCTTTTTTAGGTTTCAGAGTTTGGAATCTTGTTAGTAAACTATTAAACATTTTTATTTAAGCCCCCCACCCCCATTTTAGAAAATATCAAAAAAGCAGAATGAAGAAAGCAAGCATTTCTGGTTAATAATTTAGTTTTTGATACTTCTGTTTGGATAAAACTGTGTAAAACTAAATTATAAAGAAATGTTAAAACAAAAAGTAGCTTTAGGTGTTGAGTCACTAAGTGTGAGGAATTATAGTAAGTACCTCTTCTT